TCACTAGGGGGGACCAGAAGGGTTTGGGGGAGACCTTGTTTCCCCTAGCGCCCCCCGGGATAACAAGAAATAATGGCCACAAGTTGTTGGAGAGTAGGTTCAGATTAGACATCCGTAGGAACTACTTCACAGTTAGGGCGGCTAGGATCTGGAACCAACTTCCAAGGAAAGTGGTGCTGGCTCCTACTCTGGGGGTCTTTAAGAAGCGGTTCGATGCCTACATGTCTGGGGTCCCTTGAGCCCAGTTTCTCTCCTGCCCAGGCAGGGGGCGGACTTGAAGATCTACAAGGTCCCTTCTGACCCTACTTCTATGATTCTATGATTTTTGTACTGGGGGGGAAGCATGTCAACACATGCAATTAATGCACCTGAATTTTCTGCACAGAAAACTCAGGTGCATTTCTGACCCTACTTCTATGATTCTATGATTTTTGTACTGGGGGGGAAGCATGTCAACACATGCAATTAATGCACCTGAATTTTCTGCACAGAAAACTCAGGTGCATTAACCTGGGCCCCCGCACACATATTAACATGCGGCGGTCGGAAGCAAAATTGCTCCCAATGGAAGCAATTCAGTTTAGGGCTGCTCCTGATTTGCTCTGCCCCCCTGCAGCAGCCAGGGGGAGCTCCAGGCTCCCCCAGGTGCCAGTCCCAGGCTGGCAAGGGAAACGGGGGCTGGTCCTGATCTCTGCAGGGTTGGGGAGACCTACCCAGAGCCAGGACAGCTCTTCCAGCCACATGGAGATTGGGATGGGTCCCAATCTCCATGTGGCTGAGAGGCAGCATCCCACTGACCTGGGTCAGTTCTCCCTACCCCCTGTGGCCCCCTGTTGCCTAGGCGTCTACACACGTGCTTCAGCACATTAGTTTAATGCACTGGTTTCTAGTATCTATATCTACAGGTACTAGAAAATTGCTCATTAGGCTAATCTAGGCTAGATTAGTAGTACATGTGCAGCAATTACTGTACTACTACTGTACTACTACAGTACTACTAATCTAGTGCACAGTAATTGCTGCACATGTGTAGATGCTTTACTGTGCATTAGATTAGTCTAATGTGCAGTAAAGCATCTCGTGAAGACTCACCCAAGATGGAAGAGATAGGACTCAAGCATTTCTAAAGATCCTGCTAGGATCAATAGTGCAAAGACATGGTATGAGATAATTACACTAAGCTGACAATGCCATGTACTCGATCTAATGAAAACATTTTCCTAACAAACTAATTCATGATAAATCTCACAATACTTACGTAGCTTGTGATATAGATTTCCAAATATATAAGGACAATTTCTTCAGAAATCCAAGACATTTTCTTAGTTCTAAAATAAATATATGGCAATAGTTACTCATCAAATATTATAAGAGAGGCATGTAATAAAACATAATATTGGAAATTATAGAAATCAACATGAGCTAGAAATTCTCACCAGGATTTTGGGAACCACATTTGCCCAAGAGTTTTCTGGAATCTTTTCTTTCACTTTCCAAAACCTGCCACAATTCTTCTTCAGTTCTCAGCACACCAGAACTTCTGTTTTCTTCTTCTTCTTCTTCTTCACTTTCCTCTACTTCAGATGATAAAAACCTGTCTTCCATACAACTATCCATGAATTTAGTCTCATCTTCCTCATTGCTGTCCCTTTCACTCCCACTCTCATCACTAACATCTTCCTCAAAAGTAGTTTCTGCAGAAGCCATCCCAGACTGTATTTGAAATCTAAAAAGGAAACTGTATGTCATCACCAGTAAATTTTCAAATGATATGATGTGTTCTTAGTTTTGGTTCATTAAATGATATATCTCATTTTTAAAGCTGTCTAGAAAATCTCCATCAGAATTGTATTTGTGCAAAAGGTAGAAAATATCTGCAGCTTATCTACGATTTTTTTCCATTTTCCTGCCAATTCTACTTAATGTTATTTTTATTTTGTAATAATTCTCAGAATTGTGTAATGAACATAAATACAGATGTGGAAGCAAAGCCATGCATTTGTCACTGAAGGCTACCATAGACCTATAATTCCACTGCATTGAAGTTTTGAAATAAAAAAGTCCCATATTCTTTATGTGTTTAAATTAAATTTATAAATAAGCAAACTTAAATCAATTAAAATCCTAATTCCACTAGCTTCTATAACTTTAAATAAACTAACTGCAATTGAACAATTATCTATTCAAGAACATAGTTAGAATCAAATAAGTTAATTAGCAATAATATGGAATAACATCAACAATTAAACAGGTCATTAGGGGAATACAAATGACATTAAAATCACGAAGTTGTAAAATATATGACAGATTTCTACAAAAAACCTAACTCCAGGAACCTAATAAGAGATGTGGCAAGCATCTGAGCCATTCTAGATTACCATTCATTGAGTGACTAATGCAGTGAAAACTTATTCCACCTAAGTACTTTCAATTTCTTTTTTCCAGCAGATTAGTTTTAGGCAAACACACTTTTGAAACTTAGAAATACATGGCAATGTAAGCTAATTTTTTGCTAGATATCTAGATACATTCATGCTCTCACCTAAATTCTCCATACACATTCATTCAGCAATAAAAAAAGTTATAGAAAAATCAATATTAAATAGGAAGACATCCCTGCTGGGAAAAAAGATACCAAGGGATAAAAAATTAATTCTTCAGCTACAAATTAATGGGTACATCTAGATGAGATGCTTTATTGTGCAGTAGTGCAGTTTATTGTACGGTAAGCATGTGTGTCTACACATGCACATGCTTACTACACAGTAAACTGTGCTACTTATGAGTAAATTTGCTACCTGCAAATGCAAGTAGCAAATTTACTCACATGTATTTACTGTGCAGTAGCGCACATATAGATGCCAACTGGGAGCATATCTGCTCTCAGTCAGCACTGCCACTAGGGGGAAAGCATCAGGCTAGCCCCAGAGCCCTGGGGATGGGATCCTCTCCTGCCCCAGGGCTCAGCCGAATCTATGCCTGTCCCAGCTCCAGGCCCTTAAAATTCTGCAAGCAGTCTGAGCCCTGAGGCATATGTGCAGGGAGCCTGGGGTGACTGCTGGGCACTGCTCCCCCTGCACAGGCTGCAGGCCTGCTGTGCCAGACTGCCTGCACCCCAGTGCCACTCCCTGGCACCACAGTGCTGCACAGATACCAGGGCTGCACTGTCCAGCCCCACAGAGTGCAGCATGTGGCAGAAGGCCACCTTTGTTTCTCCCCAAAAACTCTGCTCTGTGACAATTTGATTAGGATGGGCCCAGCAGAGGAGACACACCTTTACCCTATCTCTTTAGGTAACCTGAGCTGGATACATTCCTGAGGAAGGGGGGAAACCTGCTCCCTCTGCCTACGTGACTGGTAGCACATACCTGGGTGAGGGGCTTGCTCCCTGGTGGGCTAGAGTCTGCCCGGCAACTAGTGATGTATTTCAAATTGGTTGGCTGACAGCCAACAGGTGCTGGCCTCCATTGGACAAGGTAAATGAGATCACAAGGGCTATATAAGTTAAGGACTGCCCAGGAGGAAGGGGGCAGCAGCCACGAGGGAGACAGAGAAGAGCTGAACCTTCTGAAACTTGCTCTCTCTCTCAAAACTCATGATCAAGGAACTGCCTGCCTCCAGAGGGAACCTCCACCTGCCTCTGGATGATACTTGTGAGTAAGCTACCTGAGCTCTAACTAGATATATAGCTTGCAGTAACTCAGATGCGTTATCAAAGACTACGCAGCCAGGGGAGTTTACTCTATGGGATTTCTCTGATATTGCTCTACCCTGTACCCTATTCTAACCCCACCCTCTGTAACCAATAAAGTTCTCCTTTGTACCTATCTGTGGGAGACTTATTGGGAGTGGAGTGGGTCTAGATTATGCCTTGGGGTCCCCTTGGTTCGGCTGACTAAGGGAGACCACTACTTGTGCTTCTGACTGAGGAAAGCATCCCAAATTCTTGAAGTGAATCAAGTACCCTTGAGGGCTACTAGGCCTGTGTTTCCTAGGGTATGCAGAGCCACCATCAGTCCAGAGCCCTGGGTGGTGGCAGTGGAACCCCCAGGCTAGCGGGTGTGCTCCAGGAAGGGGGTCGGACAGATGTGAGGCGCTCCCAGAGAGGCACTCGGAGCCTGGAAGGTGGTCAGGCACAGTGAGGTGGGTGGCTCAACGCAGGACCGCCCCCTACTGGCCCACCACATAGCAGACTCCTGCAAGGCCTGCCAGCACCTGGGCCCAGCTGCAGCAAAGTCCTGGCCACTGGAGCCAGGTCTATTTGGCCCCATCCAACCCCCAGCAGCCTGCCTGGACTGCCTGCAGGTGCCACGCAGCTGCTACTCCCATGCAACTGCTAGTCACCTTGCCACACAGCTGCTAGTCCCACTCCATGCCCCTGCACTGGGTGCTGCAGGCAGCTGGCCAGGCCCAGCAGCACCACAACAGCTGCAAGGAGGCCCAGAAAGCCAGCATTGGAGCCAGGACAGAATCATCCCCAATGCTACACACCACCTCCCAGGACCCCAAGTGGCCAATGGAGAAGACTGGTGACCTCATGGCAGTGTGGGGTGAAGCGGAGGTGCAAAGGCAGTTCGTGTCGGGTGGGCACGCCAATGCACATGTTTAAGAGAGGCTGTCAGGCCAAATGCAGGAGAACAAGCACAACTGTTGACACAGCAGAGCCACATAGAGGTCAAGGACTTGTGAGCACAGTGAGTCACCATCACTGACCACAACCATCTGCCAGGGAGTGCTCTCAAATCCATTCCCTTTATGCGACAACTGGATGCCATCCTCGCACCCCAGGACCCAGGCCACAGCCATGCTGCATACTGCAGCATGAGAAGCCTGCCTGAATCCCCACTCTGGCCTGCCACCCACAGTGATGTGTCACTGAGGGGGGGCCCTTGGCCTGCCAGCAGCCCATCCTGCTGAGCTCCCCACCCCCAGCCTCCTCCGGCAGCTCGAGGAGCCCAGGCCAGCACCTGCCCCGACAGCCCCGCCATCAAACCTCAGGATCCCGTGCCACATGGGCAGGTGCACCAGGGCACCATGGCCATCAGCAGCATCAGGATGTAGTGAGTCAGGCACCACTCAGTCTGCACAAACAGCTCCTCACACTGCACCCAGGTCACATGCCGCTGTGTGCTGAGGGCACAGGTGTTTGGAGCCTCCCGGCTGCAGCCACCCCGGCTCTGGGGAGCTGCTGCCAGCCGGGATCCCGGGTTGCTTCCAGAAGGCATTTGGGATGATACAAGCCCTGCTGGGAGCAGCCCAGACTCCAGCAGCTACCCGGAGCCAGGATAGTTGCTGGCAGCCACAGAGCCCAGGATGTGGGGCAGGGACTTTGGGTCGGGGGCAAGGGGCAGTAGGACTATGGGGCAGGGGCTTTGGGTGGGGGGCAAGGGGTGGCAGGCCTGAGGGGCAGGGGCTTTGGGTGTGGGGCACGAGGCAGCAGGGCTGGGGGGCAGGGGCTTTGGGTGGGGGGCACAGGGCAGTAGAGCTGGGGTGCAGGGGCTTTGGGTGGGGGGCAAGGGGCACTAGCAGGGCATCCTGCCATATACCCCTTGCCCTCATTTTGTTTTTCTGGCATGCCAGCACTCCGGCACCTTCCAAGGTAGGCATTGTGGTGTTTTTCGGCACTCCAGCCAAAAAAACGTTGCCTACCTGTGCTCTAAAACAAGAGGCAGGACTGCAGTTCGGGAGTGACTGGCTAACATTGGCTCTGGTTGATGGTATCTAACATAACAATGGGCTTTTTCTGGACACAGAGCAGCTCTGGCTGGCATACCAAGTAGAACCTCAGTTTCCTTCTTCCCTTGGTCTAGCCTCAGGTCAACAGGAATATTGACCTTCCTTTAGGCAGTAGCCTAAAGCAGAAACACTTTTTTCAGTATTTATCTTCACCTGTTTGGTTGCAACTTCAGCTTGTTGTTCATGACACTTCTTAAGACATTTTCCAAGCAGCTCAGGGGATTAGAGTTTTGCTTCCTGATGATACAAAGGGGTGTGAGCCTGACTTGAGTCTGGTTTAGTACCTTCTTTTTACTAACAGTTCTGATATAGCTCAAGATCTGTCTGTGTTCCCTTCTTTTAAAACCACAACAGATGTGCTCCAAAAATGTGGAAAACTCACAAGGACCATTCTGGCCACTTGAACAGCAGTTATACCACTATTCATTTACTGTAAAATAAAATAAAAAACATGCATTGGGAGCCAAGAACATGGGCCAGCACCCAAAGCCCCTCCTTGCAGGGGCACTGCCTATCTGGACTGATTTTCTTCTGATCCCACATACCTTCCTCCCTTGGCTATCAAAATGGACCAGCTACATTTCTCAGATACTAGTAAACCAAATAAGCTCAAAAATAGGCTGACAGTCTTGTTTTTCCCTTCAATTTACCATCAGTTCGGACTTAAAAGGAACTTTTCAGGTGGTTTTAGATGGGATTAGAGCAGTGATTCTCAACTAGGGTGCTATGGCACCCCAGGGTTCTGTGAGATACTTTCAAGGATAATACATAATATTAGCATTATTAGGTATAAAAACACCTATGTGTGATTCACAAGACAAACCCACGGGGCACGTCCTGATAAGTGTGCATGTCAAGGGTCATGCATTTCTCACAGGACAAATAGCATGTATTTGTGTCCACAGACAAATATGTGTCACTATTATTTGTCTCTGGACACGTCCCTGTACGTGCACTCTGACACATGGCAAAGTGACCCAGGTGGGGTAGGGGAGACTGGGACCAGCCCCAGCAGCCTTACCTGGGATCCTGAAGGCCTCGGAGGGGCGCAGCAGAACCAAGCCAGATGGTCTGAGCCTAGCCGGCAGGAAGAGCATGGCTCTGGCCAGCCAGGCTCCCCTTCTGGTAGTGCACACATCAGGATGCCCCAGTGTAAAAAAAAAACCACTGCGCTCCAAATTAGCAGCATGGCGAACAGGTGCACATGCACTACGTGTAGTTTGCAAACTGCTTTGAGGCATTGAAAACTGCATGTGCGCACTCATCCAGACATGCCCTAGAACTCCAATTAGAAATCCATAAATTCAAACACGTTCTGACCTCTTCTGTTCTTTATAACAGAAGTTCTTTACAACAAAAGAATTTCTCTATTATTTTTTGTAATCAGGAAAAAAGTGAAAGCTAAGAATTTGCATTTTCTGACGGATGCCTTCAGTCTAATGAGGGGTGCCTTCAATTACATAATATTGAGAACCATTGGGTTAGAAAGTCTGTTTTATAGCAGTAGAGTGATTACAGTCCTGATAATAGAGAGGCTTCTGCCTGTCTGTTTTGGCACTACAGCTAAACTACAACCCCAGACTACATAAATATATGTGTATTCTGTTTGTCCATTTGCAAACAATACTATTGGCTTTATTTTAGCTATCAAAATAAAATAAAAAGATAAAATAATCTTACAAATAATGGTTAATACAATTCAATAGTATTTGGTATTTCAAAGGCACTATTATTTACTGTTTGTATTTTTAAAGCAGCCTATCTTCATCCAAGTAATGCTTAGTTAATATGAACTGAATTTAAGAAAGACAAGATGTTCAGATAATCAAAACATAATCATATCTAAGAAAGCAGTCATTTCTAGTATATGTAAAAGATTAAAGGAAACAAAACACATTGTATGCACCAGTGGCGACATATAGGGGGCAACGTGTAGGGTAGGTACGTGTACCCCGACAGTGCTGGTGCACCTCTGTCAGGCCCCACTCCCTGTTTAGGCAACGGGCAGGGGGGCAGGCAGGAGTGCCAGTCGAGTGCCAGCCAGGGAGCGGGGCTGCCAGCAAAAGCAGCCGTGTCGCTTCCAGAAGTGGCCACGGGATTTCTGGAAGTGGTGCGGCTGCTCTTTGGTCAGTGAGATCAGCCCTGGGGGGACCCCTGTCCCCAGTCAGCATGATTGGCTGTGGCACCCCAACCCCGGTCGCTGACTGGTGTCAGGGGGGGCACCAGTAGCCCATGGTATACACTATTTGTAGTGTTATACATAGTTTAAAAATATTCAAAAGTCACATACTGCATTGATCTGGTGTTCCTCACAGCTTTAAATTTGAAATGCAATCCCTAACACCTTTAAATACACAAAGTTAATTCCAAAAGAGTTTCAAATGCATTTTTGTATGTATTTGGTCATGATAAAAGGCAGAAAAAAGAAACTGAAAAACTGATTGTTTTTGGTTTTTCACTGAAGTAGAAACACTGTTTTGAATTATTTAGCCATTGTTCTGGGGCTTGATCCTGCATATTTTACATATGCAGAATCCCATTAACTTCCAAGGAAGAACTTTGCCCCAGTTAAACAAAGTACGTGAGCAAATGCAATTCCCACTAACTTCAGAAAGATAAAACGTTTCACTGAATGAGGCAGATTTCAAAATACCAACTCTTTAACTAAGGCATAGTCTGAGGCTAACAACATTAAGTCCCAATCCTACCTAGGGCGTAGAGCATTTATGGCAGTGCAAAATAATAATCACTCTGCATCTATGACAACTCCCCATGCAGACCCATTATTGTCATACATATCAACTGCATACATGTTCCTTGTGTGCATGTGCCTTTGGCCTGTAAGGCCACCTACACCCGACTCAGAAAACCTTCTCGTTGGCTTCACTGGCAGTCAAATTTTGCCTAAAGACAGGCAGGACTGAGGCAGTACCAGATCTTCAGCACAGTGACCCTTCCTTAAGTCCCCTGTGCTTACCATTCTGGGCAAATGAAAATTCACAGAGGTCAGGGTGGTTTTCTACATTTTTAGACCCAAGACGCTGTTACAATCATAAAGAAGCAGGGCTAGAAAGGACTTCCATAGGTCATTTAGTCCAGTGTTTCTCAACCTGTGGGTCACGACCCAAAAGTAGGTCACAAGAACATTGCAAAGGGTTGCAGGGAGGTCCCAAGGAATCACTGGTGTCCCTGTGCAGGCTGCAACACTAGCCTCCTGCATGAAACAGGCAAGCAGCTGGGGGGCTTTGTGAGCACCCAGCGTTGTGAAAGCAGCCGGAGAGGGAGGGAGGGAGGGGGCCAGATGAAGCAGGCAGAGGAGGGAGGAGAGGATGGGAGAGAGACAGAGACAGACTGGATAGGTCGGGGCCAGGGGGTTGTGTGTTGTGGGTCAGGGCAAGCTGATAATTATGCTAATGGGTCCCGGTATGAAAAAGGTAGAGAATCACTGATCTAGTCCAACCCCCTGCCTGAGACAGCATCATGCCTATCCAAACCATTCCATACAATCCATAATATAAACTCTACATAAAACTACTGTCAACCCTGCCCCAACAGACCTAATGCCCTAACCTGCCACAAGTAAAGCAAGGGGAGCCACAGCAGCCAACGTCCTGCTTCTATACAATGGTGTAAATATACGCTCAAGAGGTCTAGGGACATGTGCCCCCACTACAGAACAAGGCAAAAACCCCCACAGTCCCCCCCCAAATGTGACCAGAGGGTAAAATTCTTTCCTGACCCCAAATCCAGAGACCAGTCTGACCCTGAGCAGAGGGTCCAAGCCAGGAACCTCCGGCTTTAGTCCCAGCAGGAGCACTGGCACACCCCAGTCAAAGTCCCCAGCTCTGGCTGTAGTCAATGCCTCAGAGGAAGGCTTAAAAACACCCTACTCATTCCATCCAGAAAGAGCACACACCACACCTGAGCACTTCCTCAGCCTGACAAAGGGTATTTAAACCCGAAAGCTTGCTAAGAAGAATTTTTCCAACTATTTGAGTTGGTCAGATAAAAGATATCAAGGAATCTTGTCTGCTTATGTCCTTAGACCAACACAGCGACAACCTACCCCATTAAAAACACCCTGACACTGAGCAGAAAAGGGAGGCAGGGGCAGATGGATGAGAAACACCCACAGCAGGACACAGGCATCGTCGCACCCAAGCCCTGCTCTGGCCAGAAAAAGGTGCTGAAATCCCCACCTCTACCTGGCCCCTGTCCTGCAGAGAGGGACACAGGGGCTCCCAGGGCCCAAGCCGGGGGTGAAACCTCAGGGGGGGTCATGGCATCAGGGAGGACGAGGGCTGGAAGGAGCCTGCTCCCCGCCGGTGAGAGGTGCCCCATTTCCCTGGCGCCAGGCGCCTCCCCCCGCCCCAATGCCAAGAGCGAGGGCTCGGGGGAGCGGCGCTCTGGGGCAGCCCCGCGATGCCCCGGCCGGGTCCCCTTCCCTTCCCTTCCCTCCCCCTCCCGCTGCTGGCCTCACCCGCGCCCGTCGGCTGGGCCCCGCGGCCGCCCTGCTTCCCGCGCCGCCGCGCCCGGCTCTTTATAGGTGCCTCCTGCTTCCACTTTCCTTTCTCGCCTCCGCAGCCAGTTTCGTTTCCCGGCCCGACGACTTCGGCCTCACCCGCTGCCACGTGAGTCATGGCCCGCGCCCAGCCAGAGCGGCTCTGGAGCCGCTCTCCTAACAGCAGCCCGAGGTCCAGAGCCTCCTGGGCAGATTTGGACCCACTTTGGTGCAAATGCCCGTGTGAGCCACAGGCGGGGCTAGCCCGGGAGGCTTAGATTTGGTCAGGAAGAATCCCGAAGCCCTATGCTAATACTGGGCGACTCTCAAGCAGCCCTGAACGGTACCTCAGGATCCATTCAGGAGTGCTACGCAAAGTTAGCGCGGTGTGGCATGCCAACAGGAGTGGCCAGGGAAACCCGGAGGTCACAAGTAGGAACATGCTGCCCTGTTGTGTCTTTCTGAGTTCTGTGCAACAGAAGAAATTGCTCTGCCGTCTGTCTGTACGGGGGGGAAACTAAGAGGGGCATATTCCGTGCAGCACCCTTCACAAGGAGACTGGACAGTCACCTCGCTGGGGTCACCCAAGTTGTCTGCCGGGGGGGCTAGACTCAATGATCTGCAAGGTCCCTTCCAGCCCTGTACAATCTATGAATCAGAGGTGGTATGTATATTCGGTGCAGCACTCTATTGAGGGGTACCTCAAATCAGAGGCATCCCTGCTCCAAAAAAGCTGAGGATGACTTGCAAGTGATAGACGGGATTTTTGCAGCTGTCCTGCCTTTCCAAAATGGGCTGGACCACCACTCTGAATCCTGCTTTGTGGCACATTCATTATTTAGAATCTGAACTTTTCAGGCTGAAACCATTTCTGTCTGCCAACATTTGAAATGTGGAGATGAGGATAATCAGGGAAGGGGGAAAAAAGCATGTGCTCTTTAGTTTCATTGAAAGCAAAGGAGAACTTCCCCAGGATAGAGTGGGGAAGTATTTTTATTTTCCATGGGTGTTGTCACTCCTAAGTGCTGTAGCAATTGTTGGCATGCTGACTTACTGGGAAACTGCATGTCTGTGGAAGACATATCTTCCATATCTAAACTTGCAATCTGATGCTCTCGGGATAGCCTGGTAGCTCCAGAGAAGATCAGGCAGAGAGGCATATCAGTCACTCAACCCATGTCTTGGTAGAACTTAAATAGAGATGCTGCTAAATTCTGGATTCATTTCTTTGCATTATGAGTCAGATCCAGCTATGCTTCCTCAATCTAGGTAGTATGTTCCTACAAATGGAATCTCATTGTGGGATAACTTAAGGCATAAAATAAAAAAAAACTAACCATATAAGAGTATCACAGATGTGGTCATATAGAAATAAGGACAAACAACATTCAAATCTAGACTCAGCATGATCATAGTTTTTGGGGGGTTTTAAATACCCTCTGCTGTCTTCTTTGGACTCTGTACTAGGACACAGCATAATGAAAACTGTGGGTTATGGATGCCTTGTGATACAGACAAAAGTTCTGCAGATTGTGTGGTAAAATGTCATTGCCTTGAGTTAGAAATCTGCCCTTTTTTACAGCTTTTACTTTGTGATCAAGGTTTATTATTACCACAACAGAGGTTATGGCTATGCTAAGAAAGAAGACGTTAACACATGACACTAACACAAAAAAATCCTAGTGCAGCAAAAGTCAAGTAGTAATTTTAAACTGATTTAGCTAGTTAGGATGAACTCTAGCTCCTTATTAACATCCCTTTATCTTGATGTAGCCTGGGCTTTAGAAAACTTGAGAAACAACTCAGTCTCCCCATTGGCCAAAAAAATGATTGGAAGGGAAAAGGATTTTTAAATAGACCCATTTAATCTGTTTTTTTAAATTGTTCTCATGACTCCTTAACCTAATTGACTAATTTACTTTTAAGTAAAGGAAGCCTGTAGTGCGCAGGTTTGTTATTACCCTGAAATAGAACAGTTTTCTGATAAGCATACTGTTAGGCTTACAATAATTTAGATTATTAGGAAGTATTAGCTTTACAGCTGAATACAAGGCATGACCTGTGGCCTAGCAATGCAGCTGACCACAAGGCAGATTGATAGCTAAGCCTTTGCTTGTGTCAAGTAATCATTTTAACTGTATTAAGCATTTTCTGAGTTAAAAGCAGCAAATATCTCTGTGTCTGTGTGCTGAAAAATCAGCTACAGCAAGAAGTAAGATAAGACAGGGAAACCATTGTTCTGGGTGCACTGGTTGTGTCCTTGAGAAGTATCTACTACTGTGTAAGGTTTTGCTAACATATTATAATGTTACTGTTACTTAACTTTTAGCTTTAAAAAGTGCTAATTCAGCTTAATAGAAATATGCTGTTACAAAGATTTGAAAAGCACCGCCCAAGTATTGCTTTTTTTTGTTAACCATGAAGTCTTGCCTTGTTATAATAAGTATAAAAGATCACCTCATCCTTAGGGGGGGGCCATTTTGCCTTTTGCTGGCTTTATGGTCTTTGCTCAAGCAAATAAACAGCTGTCTTTCTTTACCCGCGTTGTCTGTCAATCAAATTACAGCTAGACAACGAACCTTAGGGAGGTTTCTCCCACCACAACTGTTAAAATGGGCGTAAATCTTCACCTGTCTTTATAGGCTGCGATTTTGGTACCTCCAGCAGACGGGTCAATAAGGGGGTCGTTTGATGTGGGGGCCCCGCAGGCTGGTCCACGGGCGTGACCCGGCGCACGTTGTCTGCCGTACTCGCCACACGCCTCGAAATTTGGCAGCGGGGCGTCTGTACTCAACGGTTCCATTTCCTGGTTTACAGA